CCCCAAAACCCCAAAACCCCATAAAAATCTAATGTGTATTGAAAAAGATTAGGGTTTCATAAAATTTAATTAGTCTTTGAATTAAATTATTAAAGTTATCAAATATGTTACTAAGATCTCAATTGTGTAAAATTGCTTCTCAGACATTCAGAGGACCAATGGCAGCCAACTATGTAATTATTAGTGCTTTGAGATTCTTAGATGTTTATGAGAAACTTTGGAAGTGTCATTAAGATTAAATTAGGTGATATTGGAGAAGGGACTAAGGAGGCCAAACTTAAATAATGGCATGTCAAGGAAGGATAGAGAATTAAAGAGGTATAAAATTAGCATTAATCTCAGTATCTATGTAGTTTGAGAATATCTGTGATGTAGAAACTGATAAGGCAGTCGCTGAGATTCCATCAACTCATGATGGTGTTATCAAAAAGCTGCATTTCAATGTTGATGATGTTTGTCTAGTAGGTCATGCATTAGCAGAGATTGAATTAGATGATGATGTTAAAGCTGAAGTCCAATCATCATCTAGTTCATCCTCTTCAGAAGATGAAGAAGCGAAGAAGGGAGCTACTCAGCACAGACATCCTGCTAAGCATGATTAACATCATCATCATCAAGGTCATGGTAATGATCATGCATCCCCAGGTAATTCAAAAGCATTAGCAACTCCAGCTGTTAGACACATTGCGAAGAAACACGGGATAAACATCAATGAGATTAGAGGAACAGGAAAGGGTGCTAGAGTAACTAAAGAAGATGTTCTCAGTTTCATCAGCGGAAGTCAATCAGCTTCAACTACTCATAAGTTAGATGCTCATCATGCACCAACTCATTAAGATCATGGATCTAAGGCAGCACCAGCTGGATTATAGTTCCCAAGGATAGCTGCTCTAACTGGAGTCAGTCAAGATGATAAGTAAAGATATTTAGAGAATCTTAATTTGGATATAGAGTTATTAAAATAACAGGAATCTAAAGAGGAATGACAAAGACAATGACTGAATCTAGAACTATTCCTTTTTTCACATTTTAGGATGAAATTGATGCTAGCAACTTGATTGAGCTTAGGAAAATGCTGAAAAAGACCTATAACTCTTTGACATTACTTCCATTCTTTGTGAAAGCTGCTTCTCTCTCAATGCAAGAATATCCAATAATCAATTCTCACTTCAACCCTGAGACTTGCGATGAGGGATACATTAAGGAATATGTAATCAAGAAAGATCATAATTTTACAATTGCCATTGATTCAAAGGATGGATTAACAGTCCCAAATATCAAGAAAGTTTAAGAAAAAAGCATTCTATAAATCAATGATGAGTTAGGGTTTTTAAGGCAAAAAGCTGAGTAAGGCAAGTTAGGCCCAAATGACTTTGCAAATGGAACATTTAGTGTTTCAAGTGTGGGAAACCTTGGTGGAACATATTTCGTTCCTACAATCCTAAGACCACAAGTATCTATAATGGCTATCGGAAGAGCAAGAAAGATTGCTAAGTACGTAGAGGATCCATAAGCTCCTGAGGGCTATAGATTTACTCCAGCAGACACTGTAATTCTTTATCTTCATTAATATCATATAGATTAACATTAGCATCTCAGCTGATCATAGAATATTGGATGGAGCAACTGTGGCAAGATTTGCAGGTAAAATGAAGAACTTGATCGAAAATCCAAATTTAATGCTCATAAGTATGAGCTGAACATGTCTCAGCAGTCACTATCTTTCTCACAAAATATTTAAACTTCGATTATTTATCAAAAACTAATCATTTCTTGTTTAAATTTAGACATCTGGGGTTTTGGGGTTTTGGGGTTTTGGGGTTTTGGGG